CTACAGAGAGTCACGAGAAATGTAGCGCAGAGTGCTGTCACCCATTTGCTTAAATGTCCTGTTTCACAATGCACGTTCTAATGATTAATTCTCTGTGCCAACTCAGGTACCCAGATATCTGGGTGTGACCATGAATGTATTTCTTTGAGATTAACTCTGCAATGGTAGAGTGAAGCAAGCTGCCCTCAATAATGAGAATAGGTCTGATCAAATTAATTGAAGGAATTACCAGAACAAAGAGGCTGAGTCAGAGGGCATTCCCTTTGCCTGATTGCCATTGATGGGGCATTGTTTTATCCGATCAAAGTAAATACTGGCTGTCCTGGGTCTCCAGCTTGCTAGGTGTAGATATTGTTACTTGTCAGCCTCCAAAATTACTCCAACCAAATATTTAATAAAGTACTGAGCCCTCTCTCCTCCTAGCACTCCTTCCCCCCGATGGGATAGATAAACAGTTTCTCTGTTAGTTACTCACTCATGCACGTGTACAGTGTGTTCAGAATTCCCAAGCTGTGTCCCCATAGGGTCAGTAGTATCAAGTAGAATGCTGTGCTCACACAGGAAACTGTAGTCTCACTCATTTCCAGGGTCCGTCATGCTCTCCTTCCCACTTCAGTGAGACGTGCAATATAGTTGGATTATTTTATCTCATGGTGCATTCCCTTGTACGTTGTCTCAAACTTACAAATCTTTGTAGGGAGAAGGTTCTGGAGGTGATGGTTCAATTGTTAAAGAGCTTGTTACAGTCTTGAGGGCTTGAGTTTGACGTCCAGCGTTTGCATACAAGCCTCGCGCTGCAGAACGTGCATTAGACATCCAGCTTAGCTGAATTGGTGAGCTGCAGGTTGAGAAAGAGACTCTGAAAAATCATGTTTAACTGAATTCATCGGGGATTTCATACATGTCTATAACGTGTTTTGATCACATTTACCCTTGACTCCTCCTCCCCCCACTGCACCTTGTCTCTTTATCTCTCTCCCCTTCTCGCACCCACGAAGTGTAATTTGTGCTTCATAGGTGTGTGTATATGTATACACACATACACACGGGTGTCAGGCCCTCCACTGGAACATGGTTGACCTATCAGGGCACATCCTTAAAGAAAACTGACCCTCCCCACCTCAGACTTTTAAATCACTGAAAGGAGGGGCTTCTGGGAAATGGCTCAGTCAGTGTAATACTTTTCACAGGCACGAGGGCTTGAGTTTGAGCCCCAGCACCAATTGTCAACAGTTCCCTGGCTCCAGATGGGAGCGTGGGACACACTCTCTCATCCATGCGTGAATGCTGACTGGTTTGCTCTCTGACCACAGCCGCTGTAAATCCACACGTGTAGTGTCCTGTCATGTCCAGAGGACACCATTTTGTTCTACTCCTCTTAGAATCTTTCTTTCCCCTCTTCTGCGATGCTCTCTGAGACTTGGAGGGAGAGAGCGTGATGACTTGTGTGCCCCAAGCACTCCCTGGAGACGTTGTGAGTTTTGTTGGATTTTCTTCAAGTTCAGGAACTCTGTATGTAGTGTGTAACATGAGCGGCTGGCTTGTTTGTTGTTGAGGTTTTTGTCTCACCCAGTACCCCCAGCTGTTTATACCCAAAGAAAATTACACATAGGTCTCCATAAATTATAAGCTGATTGGCCCATTAGCTCTAGCCTCTCACTGGCTAACTCCTCACATCTTGATTAACCCATTTTTTTCTGATCTGTGTTAGCCATGTGGCTCAGTACCTTTTTCAGTGGAGCAGATCACATCCTGCTGCTTCAGTGGTCTGGGCAGGAGTGGGAGGAATCAACTTCCTCCTTCCCAGAATTCTCCTATTCTCATTACATCATTTCTCCTTCCTGTCTGGTTTTCCCACCTATCCTTCCTGCCTGGCCAATCAGTGTTCATTTAAAACATGATTGAAAGAATACAGACAATTCTCCCACACCAGTAGTGAAACTTTTTATTTACTTTAACTTGTAAAGGTGTTGGGTTGTGAGGTCTGTACCTCTTCTGAATTGCTGATATGGCTTCTTTTTGGGGGAGGGGCATTTTAAGATACTCTATTGTAGTGATTGATTTTGAACGTTGAACTCGTCTTACTTATTGGGATGGACCCTGGTTACTCATGGTGTAGAATCTTTTGTATATGCCACAGCTCTCTATTTAGTCCAGTTGTGTTGACCCCTTTTGTGTAATGTTTATAAGAGGTATTAATTATGGTTTTTCTTCTTTCAAGTAATTATCTAGTTGCATTGTTAGAGCAATATTGGCTCAAACAGAGTGAACCACTCCTTGCATGTCTGTTTCCTAGAGGTCGTGGCTGGGGCCGTTTCATCTGTTCATGTTGGCATAGTTAGGCAACGAACATATCTCCTAGGTTTGGCTGCTCATAGTTGGTGTATGGCTACCCTGACCATTTCTCCGTGTCTTACTATTTTGCAGCTTTTGTGGTCTGGGTACATTTCGCCAAACTTGTCAAATGCATTGACATATAGACTCAGAATTTTACTTTATGATACCATAGATTTTAAAGTATATTAAGATTTTAACTCTAAGAATTGTGCTTAAGGGAGCCACCTTAGAGTTGGCAAGAGACTTGAACCTAGAGTGGCTCCCAGATGCCAAAGCCGAGGTCCCCAGTTAGTTCCTTGGGCAGCTGAGGATAGGGAACCTAAAATGACCCTATCCTATAGCAATACTGACGAATATCTTGCATATCATCATAGAACCTTCATCTGGTGATGGATGGAGATAGAGACAGAGACCCACACTGGAGCACTGGACTGAGCTCCCAATGTCCCAATGAGGAGCAGAAGGAGGGAGAACATGAGCAAAGAAGTCGGGACCACGAGGGGTGCACCCACCCACTGAGACAGTGGAGCTGATCTATTGGGAGCTCACCAAGGCCAGCTGGACTGTGACTGAAAAAGCATGGGATAAAACTGGACTCTCTGAGCATGGCGAACAATGAGGGCTGATGAGAACCCAAGGACAATGGCATGGGGTTTTGAACCTACGTAATGTGCTGGCTTTGTGGGAGCCTAGCCAGTTTGGATATTCACCTTCCTAGGAATGGACGGAGAGGGGAGGACCTAGGACTTACCACAGGGCAGGGAACCCTGACTGCTCTTTGGACTGGAGAGGGAGGGGGAGAGGAGTGGGGGGAGGGGGAGAAGGGTGTGAGGAGGGGGAGAAGGGTGGGAGGAGGGGGAGAAGGGTGGGAGGAGGGGGAGGGAAATGGGAGGCTGGGAGGAGGTGGAAACTTTTTTTTTCTCCTTTTCTCAATAAAAAAAATGGAAAAAAAGATTTTAACTCTATCTAAGTTCACATATGTGATAAGATGTACGTCTATACATGCACGTTGTGAGTTATTATCCTTTCCATTGTTCCTTATGGACATAGAATCACATGTGGGGTGTGTGGGATTATATCAGCCACAGCATGCCTGATACTGGGGAAGAAAGTGGGGTGGTGCTTATGCTAAAGGGGGAGGTGCTCATTTGGGTAGGGAGATGGTTAGGAGTGAACACATGAGGATACCTATATGCCAGGATTCAGAATTACTTTACATAAAATAATCAAGTAAAATGGATCAAAATATTGTAGTTTAGAGGTCTAGTCTAGTTTGGTTTCTCTGACAGCTAAAGGGTTAAAAGGAGGGAAAAATCTTGAGTGCTACATACAGGTGAAATGGATATCTCAGACACAGTGGAGACAATCAGTCCAGGAAGAAAGGGTTTGATTCTGGGTGAGGAAACACACACACACACACACACACTCAAACACACACACACACACTCAGACACATACATACACACATGTGCACAGTCTCTCTCCTTCACACACACACACACACACACACACACACACACACACTCAGACACATACATACACACATGTGCACAGTCTCTCTCCTTCACACACACACACACACACACACACACACACACACACACACGGCTTTTGCTTTAATTAGGCAGGGATACGTTTCTCCAGCAGATATTTGGAGTGAGGATAGGTGCAGAGAGACACATAGACACAGGAAACCAGGCTATTATGTTTGCCTAGTTTGAGCAGTCCATACATACAGGTTCACATGTGTAAAATCAAGCACCAGTGGAAGGGATGTTTTTTATATAAAACCTATGAAGAGGTGCAGATCTCATCTGCCTGTCCATCTCAAGCCACCATCCTCTGAGGTATTAGATGAAGCCCAGGGACGAAGCTCAGCTTCTGGAAGACATGGAAAGACTGAATGCAAGCACCGTGACATTTTACACAAAATTCCAGAAGAACCTGCAGTTTTGGTATCTGCAAAAATCCCATAATTAATGTGGTATGGATACCATATGAGAACTACATCAAATATGGCAGGTCAAACTCCTCCAACTCTGCTGGATATGGACGGAGAGGGAAAACAGCAGGGAAGGGAGGTTGAGTGTCAGGATGCCTTAACGCAGGTTTCCTGACCTTCCACAGAGGCAGAGAATGAAAACCTTAGGATTTCCATTTTCATTAAAAGAAACTATGTATAACTTGAAAAAGGAGAAGAAACTTTAGTGTCATACAGCATTTTCTAAATCTGCTTTATTTAGGAGTTACAAGAAAGCAAAGAGCTGAGAAAACATCACATGGTTAGATTGTGTACATCACTCAGTTAGTCACCAGCTACTGCCATGGAGATGCACAAAAATCGGAACCCAGGAAGGAATTGCCAACATGAAAGGGACATACATCTTTCTGTTGTCTTACGTAGCTAGGAAGGTAGAGTTTAAAAGGTGTACATCTGCTGGTTCAGTGACACAGCGAGTGACAAGGTTCAGTGGCTCACGATGTGAAGTCGGAGGTTGGCGTCCTGAAGAAGAAAGGGCTTGGGAACGTATGTAGAGGAGCAACAACGGCGCAGCTCTCAGCCCTAGCCGGGGAGCAGAGGGAGGAAGGCAGCAGGGACAGCACCCGAGCACAGGGCTCTACCAGAGCCTCTGGGGAGCAGACACGCTCAGGCGACAGGGACTTCAGTGCCGGTAGCTCTTCCTGCTGGAGGAGGTGGTGGTGTACTTGATGATGGAAGAGCTGCCACCAGAGGAGCTCAGGCCACCACTGAGGCCTCTGCCACTGCCAGAACTGAAGCCACCTCCAAGGCCATGGCTGCTGCTGTAGGAGTAGCTGCTGCCTCCTCCCAGGCCCAAGCTGCTGCTGGCACCACCTGCACTGCCATAGCCGCTGGACATGGTGGACTGCACCACAGCTGCGAAGAGGAAGAGGGGACAGGGGACACTGTGAGCCCACTCTGTCCAGAGAGTCGAGCACAAGGCAGGGGAAGGGGAGGCGGCAGGCAGTGTACTTACAGATGTTGACGGGTCCAACGCCTTCACCATTCAGCCTAGAATAGGAACAGAGCAGAGGAGAAGGTGAGACCTAGGGAGCCATGACCTCAGTCCCCGTGAACCCTCAGTGTGGTGACAGGTCACAGAGAATCCCTGGTAGAGTGGTCCCTGAAGGGAGCCATTGTGGCCACAGCAAGTGCTCCCTCATGCTGTGCTCATGCCTGGCATCATGGAGGAGGGGGAGCACTCACCTGCACTCCTCTCCTTCCAGCAGCTTCCTGTAGGTGGCGATCTCCACATCAAGGGCCAACTTGACATTCATGAGCTCCTGGTACTCCTTCAGCAGCCTGGCCATGTCCTGCTTGGCCTTCTGCAGGGCATCCTCCAGCCCTTCCAACTTGCCCCTGGCATCCTTGAGGGCATTCTCCCCATGCTGCTCAGCTTCGGCAATGGCAGCCTGAAGGTTGGCACACTGGGCAGAGAAAGAAAGAAAAACAAACTTGTATTGTGGTTCTTTCGAGAGGGTGAACAGATCTTTTCTCCTAGTGAGCAAGAGTCTAGAGGACAGAAAATAATGGACGACAACCTCTGAATTTTTTGTCTTTCATACCAGTTTTTGATGTGGTCGATGTCAGATTTCAGCCTCGGAATCATGCAATTGGGATCAGCATTCTCCTGCTTGGTGCTGTGCAGATCAGCCCCTTGTCTGTCTGCTGTGACCTGCAGCTCCTTGTACTGAGGGTCAACTGAAGGGAGAACATTTATATTAAGATTTACATTCAAAGGCAAATTCACTTCTAACTGGCCTGCACTATAATTGCCGTAGTAACTTTTCCTCAGGAGAAGGTCTAGGAGGATGTGGGCTACATCGATCTCTTGGGACTAAGTGTTCTGCGTTCTCATGAGGACCTGTATTCCCAGTACGACAACTTTCCTTCTACATCCGGGTTCCTTTGATCCTCAGACTACAACTTCATTCTTTAATGCAAGTCAAGAACCATCTGCTATTACAGGAGCCCAGTTCCTTCTTAGTAGCTCTCTAACCTCCAGTGATGTCCGAGACTTACGGAATTCATTGTGGGTCCAGTTTTTCTTCATCAGGCTCCAACTAAATATTCACTTTCGTCTGGTACCAAGACTCAGCTTCAGCATGGCTCTTCTGAGCAATCTCTATGATATCTGAAGGTAGATCTCAGGAAACATAGGATTTCTTCATAAGTAATTCATTATTACTTCTAAAGATAGGCTGCTTTGTATGTATGTAGAAAATAACTGTATGTCTTAATATCCATACATATATATTTACATTAAAAATTGTTCAAGGGACTGTAAAGATGGCTCACTTGTGAAGAGCACTTGTTGCTCCTACAGAGATCCAGATTTTAGATCCCTACTTAACCCATGGTCGGTCACAGCCATCCATAACTCCAGTTCCATGTCTTCTTCTGACTTCTGAGGGCACCACATACACATGTGTTACATACACTTACATTAATGAAAATAGTTCTATATATGAATAAGGTAAATATAAAACAGAAATGATAGATTTTTCCAATACCCTTATTATGATTACTACTCCTTTTTAATTGTTTTTTCGAGACAGGGTTTCTCTGTGGCTTTTGGAGCCTGTCCTGGAGCTAGCTCTTGTAGACCAGGCTGGCCTCGAACTCACAGAGATCCGCCTGCCTCTGCTTCCCAAGTGCTGGGATTAAAGGCGTGTGCCTCCACTGCCTGGCAACATTAGTATTGTTTTTAAAAAATATTTTTATTGTTTAAATTTATAAATATTAGTGTTTATGTGGATCTTAAACAGTTTTATACAATTTGTAATTCTTCCATAATATTTTTTTTCTCTTCCTTGCTTCCATTTCAGTTTTCAATACTTGAACTGTTTCCATTACCTGTTTGAGCATTTCCCAGGGTTTCATTTACGTATTTACTCATTTCTTCAAACTTTTTGTTTTACTTCTCATCCATTTCTATAAGGGCGTTTTTTACATGTTGTTTAAGAAACTCTATTGCTTTCATAAAGTCAATTTTTTCCACTTCTTCTGTGTTAGGGTGTTGAAGTCCTTCTGTTGTAAGATCATTGGGTTCTGGTGTGTTCATGTTGTTTTTCAAATTGTTGGGTGAATTCTTGCCTTGGCGCCTGCCCATCTCCTCCTATCGATGCTATCTAATGGGTCTTTTAAACTCGGATCAGGTTTCCCTGCTGGCCAGGGGCTCCTCTTACAAAATGCCCTCGCTCCGTTTCCTGGCTCCTGCCTCAGGCTAACCACGAGGGGTACACTCACACACTGAGACAATGGGAATGTTCTATTGGGAACTCACCAAGGCCATCTGGCCTGGGTCTGAAAAAGCATGGGATAAAACTGGACTCGCTGAACATAGCGGACAATGAGGACTACTGAGAACTCAAGAACAATGGCAATGGGTTTTTGATCCTACTGCACGTACTGACTTTGTGGGAGCCTAGGCGGTTTGGATGCTCACCTTACTAGACCTGGATGGAGGTGGGTGGTCCTTGGACTTCCCACAGGGCAGGGAACCCTGATTGCTCTTTGGGCTGACAAGGGAGGGGGACTTGATTTGGGGAGGGGGAGGGAAATGGGAGGCGGTGGCGGGGAGGAGGCAGAAATCTTTAATAAATAAATAAATAAATAATATTTTTTTTCTCCTAGTAACTTAAAAAAATGTGCATTGTGGGCTGGAGAGATGGCTCAGAGGTTAAGAGCACTGATTGCCCTTCCAGTGGTCCTGAGTTCAATTTCCAGCAATCACATGGTGGCTCACAACCATCAGTTATGAGATCTGATACCCTCTACTGGTCTGCAGGCATACACGCAGGCAGAACACTGTATACATAATAAATAAATCTTTAAAAAAATATGTATTGGTGCTTTGCCTGGATGAATGTCTGTGAAGCCCTTGTGTGCCTGTTTTCCCTGGCGGTCAGAAGAGTGAGTCAGTCCCCTAGAACTAGAGTTCCCAGAAGGTTGTGAGCTGTGAGCCACCATCTAAGAGCCAGGACTTGAACCCAGGTCCTCCACAACAGCAGACAGCGCTCTTTACTGCTGAGACATCACTGTGGCCCCTCTCCTAATCATGTGTTTGTTAAGGAATCCAGACTAATGTCCTGCTTAGTGTTTCAGCCGCTGCTTTTCTCCTTGATTACTCCTGGCACTGCCTTTACCAGGCCACCGTGTCTACCTTGTCTTCTCTAAACTAAACTCATATTGCTTAAATCATGAATCTTAATGAGAGACATAGAAACCTTTCAAAATAGATGGCCTGGAAGTATGTCTAAAGCATGCACAGCTTACATGCTATTTATCTGCAAGTTGCATGTGTAATTCATGTTCAGGGAATGAGATGCACGCCAGTGTCATCTCCCAAGCACCTAGTTCTGCACGTGGAAACCAGCAGGGCTATTTGTGCAGCCGTCCTTCAGCGTGGTTTTGTGCTTTTCCTGTGTGTATTTGCTTGCTTGTGTGTGTGTGTGTGTGTGTGTGTGTGTGTGTGATGGTGTCTGTTGAATTGTTTGTTTCTTATATATGTTTACACATATGTAAATACGTTTTCTCGTGGGGCAGCATGTGCTCCAGCTTTGCCACTTCCCATTTCTGTTTTCTCTGCAATCCCTTTCAAAGTCAGGGTTCCTGTAACCCTTTGCTTGGTGTCCATTGTGGCCTCCGCTGTGCTGTTTGTGCCAATCTCAACTCACTCTTCATTTCTGTTCTGCTTTTACCTGTTTTTTTTTTTCTGTATCCTTTTCTGAACTTGCAAAGTGATCTATTTCCTACAGCCTTTCCATGTCCTCTCATTATCTTGCTTCTATAGTTGCATTGACTCAAACCCTCGGTAACCTATCAGTGTGCCTTGGTGACTTGGCTTTCCTACATTCTTGTGGAGGGCATGTATGTCTGTGGGTCCTGCAGTGTTCCTCTCTGTGCCTGTCCTTGGATGAATGTGCCATTTGCATCAGAGAAGCCAGGGACATTTCAGGCTAACAGGAACTCTCATTGACTCACTGTGACACACTCTAAGAGAATAATTCTTTTGTTTTAAATTCAGTCAGCCCAGCAAAAGTGACTGACCCACAGGCTCCCTGCCCTCTTTTTCTCCCCATCAAAATGTCCCATCATGCAATAAAATGCTCATCTTGACTAACCTTGGGTTGCCCACATATATGGTTAAACATTATTCCAGAACTGTCTGTGAGAGTTTTAGGTTGGGTTAAAACCTGAATGAGTTGACTAAGTTCAGCCCACTGTTTGTCCCTGAACCTGGGTGTTGTTTGTATGTTTGTCTGTTTAATTTTTTCAGCCTTCAGATTCAGACTAAGGCATCAGCATGTTCTGGGTCTCCGGCCTGCTGGTTTGAACTAGAACAAAATCAAAGGCTCTGCCGCTCCAGGCTTAGGATGCCTGAGCAAGTCTGTTACCTTTTCTGGGTCTCTAATCCACAGGCAGCCGGGAATTCTCAGCCTCCAAACTTACTTAAGCCAGTTCCTAAAGCCTCTCTCCCTGTCTCTGTCTTTTCTGTCTCTGTCTCCCCGTCTCACCGTTTCTCATCTCTATTCTTTCTCTGTCTTTGTCTCTCTGTATGTCTGTCTTTCTGCTATCTGTCTCTCTGTCTCTGTCCTTTCTTTCTCTGTCTTTCTGTCTCTCTGTCTCTGTCCTTTCTTTCTCTGTCTCTGTCTCTGTGTCTCTCTCTATCTGCTTCTGTCTGTTAGTCTCTCTGTCTCTGTTTCACTCTGTTCCCCTTCTCCTATCTATCCCCTATCTTCAACTCTATTTGACTTTATGTTTGAGCAGTTTTAGGCTTAGAGCAGAACACCTGTTTTTTTTTTTTTTTTTTACTTATTTATTCATTATGTTTACAGTGTTCTGCCTGCATATGTTCTTGCAGGCCAGAAGAGGGCACTAGATCTCATTACAGATGGTTGTGGGCCACAGTGTGGTTGCTGGGAATTGAACTCAGGACCTTTGGAAGAACGGTCAGTGCTCTTAACCGCTGAACCATCTCTCCAGCAGAACACCTGTGTTTTTGCTTTACAAAAGAGTGCTACTTCAAGAGTGAAGTGGTTTCAGAATTGTTGTCACATCTCCATGGGAACCAGGCATGTCAAGCAGAGTGCAGTTGCCACATACAACTCATAAATCCCACTGTCTCCAGTGTTTCCAGATCAGCCTTCTTACCCCACCACCCCAAGTCCTATATCTGAAGAAGGTTTCTTTGTTCACTTGTTGCCTGTTAGATCTTTTGTAATGTTTCACTCTCTGTCCTGAGTTATCTTGAGCTTTTAAATTATTAGTTTTGCTCTTTTCAAGAATGAAGGTTTGCTCAGGAGTATAAAGTTTGCTCTGTGAAAGATTGGGAATTTCTGAAGGGTCAGGCACATTGTTTACCTCATAAACTATGTAGACTGTAATAAAATGTGCCAAGAATTCCTTTTCTCCTTTTATTGAAAACAACTCTTGTTTACTCATATCCTGATTACACTTTCCTCTCTGTTCCTCTCAATTTCTCCCACCTCCCCTCCCATCAGGATTCACTAGAATAGATAGATCCCCTATCTGTCTCTCATTAGAAAACAAACAGGCTTCTAAGGGATAATAATAAAATAAAACATAATAAGTTAAAGGAAAATTGATATATCAGGACGGGACAAAAAAAGCAAAAGAAAAAAAGACCAAGAAAAAGCACAAGAAACATATGTAATAAACACAGAGAACCACTCATTCATATATTCGGGAATCACATAAAAACAGTAAACTGGATTGTAGTGGCATTTCACTTGTATTTTAATAAATAAAACTTGCCTGAGTATCAGAGAGTAAAACAGTCTTACAGACCAGGCAGTAGTAACATACAACTTTAATCCCTGTAGCCACACTAATTGCCATAGAAACCAGTGGTACATGCCTTTAATCCAAGTGGTGCATGCCTTTAATTCCGGCCCTAGAGAGAATTATAAAATGAGAGAAAATAGATTTCAGGCACAGTCTCTTTCTGAGATTTCCTAGAGGCAGGATCACCATTTTTGGACTGAGGTAGAGCCAATGGCTGGCTGTTTTGCTTTTCTAGTCTTCAGGTTGAACCCCAGTATCTGTCTCTGAGTTTTTATTAGTTGTGCTACACTAGATGTCATAACATATACACAAAGGACAATCTTTCTGTTCCTCTGAAACAGGGTCCCCTGAGCCCTGAAAGGAAGGATTGATGGAGAAGACATTCCATTTAGCATCGAGTTTCCAAGGTCTCTAGCTCTCTGTATATTATTTGGCTGTGGGTTTTATATTGTTCCCATCTGCTTCAGGAGAAGGCTTCTCTGATGACGGGTGAGCAAGGTACTGGGGTATGCAGAGAGAAGAATGTCATTAGGAGTCATTTTCTTGCT